CAATGAATTCAATTGGAACATGTGTTCCTTCTGCGTTAATTTTTTCTCTGCAGAGAATGAAAGATGAGGAAGAATGAAAGATTATCGATGCACCTACTGGAGGGCTAGCCTTTGCTCAAAAAAAGGATGGATGACTTCAGACATTTTCTATGGCTGCAACATTTTTTTAAAGTATACAAGGGCTGCTAAGACCAACAAAGTTTAGTTGTTACTTGATGGCCATGATACTCATAAAAGTTTTGAAGCTCTTCAGTTTGCAAAGAAAAAAGATATTAATATATTTATCTTGTTTTCCTGCTCGCTGCTCTCATCACGTTCATTCCGTGGACATAGGGTTTTTTAGACAACTTCAAAATTACTACGACCAAGAAATTTAATTATGGCTGCTACAGATCCCAAATAAAACATTGACCCAATTTAAAGAAACCAGTCTCTTTCATAGAGCATATTTAATAGTGCTCTACTATCAAATACAATCAATGCATTTAAAAAGACAGGAATACAACCGTTCAATTGCTTTGGATTGAACAATTCTTTGAGGCCTGGTAATTTTTGCCGTCTATAACAACAGATAGAGAAAATTCTGAACAAAACACAATGCCAGGATGTTTTGACCAGAACTCACCATCGGAACATTGAAGCCAAAATGTTTCTTCGATTCAAAGTTTATTAAAAAGACCCGCTATTAGAAATCAACATCGTCGTCAGTCCTAAACAACCCGGTAGAAGATTTTTGTTCTCCTCCTGTAGCTGGAGTAACGCAAAAAAGGGGTAGAAAACGGGGTCAAACAGGATATTTAAATTCAATGCCAGAAATTGAAGATATAAAAAAAATTGCAAAACAAGAAGCAAAAAAAAGGAAAGTTCTCTGTGTTCGTAGTTCTCTGACATAACTATTGATGACCACAACTTCGAAGTAATTAAAGAGTTTAAACATCTGGGAACGATAACCACAGATGACAGCGACATAGAAAAAGAAGTCTCAGCAGGGATAGTTACGGGGAATAGAGTAATATACGCCCTATCATCATTATTAAGATGTAAGCTGCTAAAAAGATAATCTAAATTAAGACTGTACATGTCAATTATTCGCCTAGTTGTTACATATGGAAGTGAAACATGGACTCTACATCAGCAAGAAATAAATTAGCTGCTAGTATTTGGAAGGAAGCTTCTCCGAATGATATTTAGCCCTTCAAGAGATGAACTGACAGGAAAGTGGAGAAGTCGCCGCAATGCTGAATTTTGATGACTCTATAGGGCACTAAAATGTCGTCAGACATTTAAAAGCTAACCTGATGAGATTAGCAGGCATATGGTAAGATCAGAGGAAGACAGAGTGCTAAAGACAGTGTTTTTGAGAGACCAGACGGCAGAAGGAAGAACGATGTTGAAGCCGACTTGTCTAGGATCAGGGTACAACAATGGGAAATGGAAGCGCAAGATCGTAGAAGATGGAGGGCTATAGTGGATACGGTGACGACTCACACCGAGTTGTTAAGCCAGTCAAGAAGAAGAAGACTTTACATTATATTCACAAGAACGTTTCAGTCTTCTACCCTATGTAAGTGTAGATATAGCAACCTTTTTTATAATTCCTTATAATTTGTCCCCCTAGAAATATTTTCTGCTCTCTTTGTTGTAATGTTATTAAATATTGTCAAAATATCTTGCTTTGCAGTGTCGTTTATATTTTTAAAATATTTAAATTTACATTTACAGTTTTTCCTAGCTTTCTGCTTGCCTTTCAGACATTAATTTTGATTTTTAGTTCAGCTTTCCTGTTATTAGCAACAATTCTTTTTCACTTACTTTCATCGCTTGCTCACTTTTTGACAATTTATATTTTTAACAACTGGTTGATCCTTTTCACTTTCAGAATTCACTTCTTTCAATCAGAGATGCAATTTCAGCACTTGAATTAAACAAAGCATAGCATTTTAACACTAGAACTAGGATCAACAGGAGCAAAATCAGGATTTCTATCACTGTACTGTAGACGTTTAATAACTTTCTAAAAAAGTAAATGTATGCTAACTGACAGAGCGACGTATTTCACATACATAATTTGTGTTGCATCGAAAAGAATGATCTAAAGAAAAGAAAAATTGGAAATTGCGCAGAAGAAACAATAAGAGATGCAGTAAGTCTGGTCAGAGAAGGAGGATCTTTGAGAAAAGTAGCTGCTTTGAAAGGCGTACTATTTCAGACATCGGCTAGATATGTTGAGAAAGCCAGAGACGTTGACGACATTAGTCATACGGATGAGTCCCACCTACAGTATTAATAAAGTATTTACGTCTGCAGAAGAAGATTCCCTAGAAAACTATATCATAAGCTGCTCACGCATGTTTTATGCGTTCTCTGTTGACAATTGTAGAAAACTTGCCTATGAAATGGCAATCGAAAATAAAAAGATAATTCCTGTCAAATGGCATGAAAGAAAAATAGCAGGGCTGAAATGGATGAAAGGTTTTCGATAAAAACATGTTCGACTGTCGCTTCGCATCCCCGAAGGATGTAGTTTATTCCGTGCGACGTCATTTATTAGACATAATATTTAAATTTTTTACCCAAATTTGAAGAATATATATTCAAGAACTGATGCTTTTGCTGAAGGAAGAAGAATCTACAATTTGAATGAGACTACGACTACGACGGTTCAAAAATCAGCAAAGGTGGTTGCTGAGAAAGGGATGAAGCAAGTTAGCAAGGTAACAAGTGGGGAGAGAGGTATATTGGATTGGATACCACTTGTTGCATCGTTAGTGCTACGGGACAATAACTACCACCAGCAATGGTTTTTCCTAGGGTGCATCTAAAGGAGCATATGCTACGAGGCTCTCCATCACTAACGTTGGGGCTTGCTACTCCAAGTGGATGAATGAATGCTGATCATTTTTTAACATTTCCTCCTCATTCCACAAATAATATGCAACCACTAGATGTGTGGGTATTCAAAATCATTCTCAACATGTTATAATGCATCTGTAGATACCTGGATGATGCAACATCCAGGTAAGCCTTTCACCATATATCAGGTAGCTGAGTGCGTCGGCTTTGCTCACGAAAAAGCTCTCACACCGAGCAATATTATAAATGCATTCAAAAAGTGTTATATATATCCATACGAGGCCAATGTCTTCACAGATATAGACTTTCTACCAAGCGCTGTTACCGTTCGCAATTTAAAAGATGATGTAAGCCAAAAAAAGTTCATCGATCTACCAAGTACATCAACATCAACAAATAAAATATCCGTGAGTGATAATATTCAAGAAAATATATCGGATATAGAAAATGATGGGACACCGGTATTGAAAATAGTAATCAACAGAACGATAAAAATGGCAAGACTGTCACAGATGTTTTAAAAGTCCAGAAGAATGTAAGGGCTTTCCAAAAGCAGGAGAACGCAAAACTAAAAATACGCGAAGAACGGGCAAAAGTGTTATAGCTACTGACACACCCGAAAAAGATGCCATAGAAGAATGAAACATTACGAAAAAAAAAAAAAAAGAAAAATTGATAAAATCGAAGTGAAAACAGTAGAAAAGGACAAAGAAACAAATATTTAAAGATAGTTCTGAAAGCTCAGAGGAGGAACTTAAACTTGGTTCATCCTCAGGGGATGACTGCGACTATACAATCAATCCAGATGGATTTGAGGAGCTTCATAGAAAGCTCATAGAAAATGATTTTGTGCTCGTGGAGTTTCCTGGAAAATGGAGAAGAAGAAGGTGTATTATGTTGTAAAAGTCCTCAAAATAAATGAGTCAGAAGAGTATGAAATTTTGTATCTTAGAAAACAAACGATGGGCACCAGCAAATTTGTATTTCCCGATAATCCAGATGAAGCTATTGTTGCTTTAAAAGATATAAAGCTCATCATACTACCCCCAATTCCCTGTGGGCACACTAGCCGACAGATGGATTCTTTTACGTTTGAGATAGATTTTGGATTAATGGACATTAGGTAGATACATACCTAGATATTAAATTTTTATGTCTACTCATTTTTTTATGTTCTGTATCTTTTTTTGTTTATTTTGGAAGTTTCTTTTGTGTTCAATAAATATGATTTATAAACTATGTTCGCAACAATCAGTATCAAAACTATGTTAATTACTATTTAACTGGGAATAAGCCCCAATTAAAGGTTAAAATACGTTTATTGACATTTTAATTTCTACTTCGGAAATCGTTCTCAAAATGCAAACAGTAAATTGTATTTACTGTTTGTATTTTGAGATGCTGCATCTAATAGCTTCAACAATTCTGCAGGAATTTCATTAAGTGCCGGTGCCTTTCCATCATTCATTTGTCTGACGGCTGCCATTATTTCTTCTGGTAGGATTTCGGGACCTGAATTTTGTTCAATGGTGGGCTCTTGTATTGTTCTAAGGTCATGGAAAAATTTCTCCAAGTATTTTTCTCATACTTTCTTTTTATTTTCTTTGGTTATGGCAAGATTGCCTTCATCATCTGTTATTTTTCCGCTGTTGCGTAAAAAATAGATGTGTTTGCTGTAATAATCTTAAAATCGAAAAAAGAACAAAAATTATTTATCGTCAGTGTCAAGTACTACTTTGTAATTAATGCTTCACCCCCTATCATACATATAATGTTTTCCAGTTCATAAAAATAATTTTTTTTTCTTTCATACCCTACTGTACTGTTTTTTATTACTATTGGGACATATTTAATCCAGTATTCATTACAACTGGGATAAATATGTCGAAGGACTTTTTTTAAAAGCTAGTTTATGCAAAAATTTAAAATTCGGTATTTATGTTTTCTAACTCCATATATTTAAAATGGAAGATATAATAAAATCTAAATGTCGTATTAAAAGTATTTAAACTGGCAGAAAATAGATTTCTCAAAAACGATCCCTGCGAATCTATTCTGTTCAAATTTAAAAAAACACAAAGAAAAAACTGAATAGAGGAATACGTCAGCTTTCTCGTGTAGGTTGTATAATAAAACTACCTCAACTTGTATAAAATCTGTTTTTAAAATAAATAGTTTCCACATATATAACAGCCTTAAAATACTTCATCACAAGCATCAACAACTTTAGGACAAAACTTTTTAGCAAAATATAAATAAGGTACATTTGACGTTAGAGGTATTTTGGTTTCTTCACTGAGTTTGTTCCACGCGTGAATAGCGAAGCTATTTTGCGTCATATTCATTACAGCACCGAAGGATTCTTCTTCGAAGTACATCTTCCATTTCTGCCAAGGCACTGGGTAGAAGGTGTGCGAAGGGTAGGGGGTAAATCCTTCGCAATCGTTATTTAACATATCTTCTGTTCTGTTTGCCTTGCATAGAGATTCCAGTAACCTAAAAATAAAGTTTATTTATCAGTTGAAATAATGTTTTTGCTTAAGTATTACACTATTTTATATTAAGGTTATCCTAAAATCATAAACATGACACGTAAATATGAACTACGATTATTTTTATAAAGAGTGATTGATTTAGAGGTACTTTTTTCAAAAAGAAAAAATAAATTTTATTAAAAAATATTTATTATTATACAAAAGAACCATTATTAAGATTAAGGCAAGAATAGGACAGGCAAGAAATTCTTTCAACAAACTGAAAAGAGTACTCTGCAACAGGGACATTTCGATGTCTTTAAAGATAAGACTTCTGAGATGCTACGTGTTCTCCTTATTATTTTATGGGTTGGGGGCTTGGACTTCATTATGTCTCTTAGTTCATGGTTTATTCTTCTTCCCATTTCTAATCTTTTCATAACGCCGGCCCGAACAAAGAATTTTAATCTTTCCTTGTCTCTTCCCATAAGAACTAAATCATCTGCATATACAACTACATGTGTTGAGGAGTGGGCTGTAGTTCCTTTAACTTTGCTAGCCTTGACTGTTCCTTCTACTGCTATGTTGAATAATGTGGTTGACAGAGATTCGCCTTGTCGCACTCTGCAATGCTCTGCCTGTTTCTATTTTGCCTCATCTATGGGCATTTTTGTTAATCTGATTAATGTTGCTGGTATATCTTTATTTTTCATTTCAATAAATAATTTATTTCTTCCAATACAGTCAAAGGCTTATCTGAAGTCTACGAAGAGGATGTGGAGTTCTATGTTGTGTTCGTGGCATTTTTCGATTGTTTGTGTAACTATGTGGATCGCATCTGTAGTGGATCTGCCTTCTCTGAATCCTTGTTGGTACTCAGTAGAGATATTGTTCTATAGTTGTTTCAGTTTGTTACTTCTCCTTTTTCCTTTCCAATCCTCGGGCATTCTTCTGCTTCCCATATTCTAACTATTAGATAATAGATGCTTGTTAATAACCTTTCCACTCCGTTTTAATTAGCTCATTGGGAATTTCATCTGGGCCAGGTGTTCTTTTCTGTTTCATTTTTTGAATGATGTCTAAATATTCATCATATTATGTTGGTATTCCTATTTCATTATCTCTAATGTCTTCCATTGCGCCTACTTCCTCTTCCGGGATTTCTTTGCATCTATACAGTTCTGTGAAGTGTGTTTCCCATGATCTATTGTCAATTTTAACTAATGGTCTTCCTTTTCTTTGTTGAGCTTTTAGGTATCCAAATAGTTTGGAGTTCTCGTTACTATTATTTTCTAGGTTCTTTAACAGCTCTTCTATCAACAGTTTTTTTTGTTGTTGCAACAATTATCCGCTGCTTTCTTTTTTTTTCTTTATATTCGTTGATTTAGAGGTACTTTTTTCAACAAGAAAAAATAAATTTTATTAAAAAATATTTATTATTATACGAAAGAACCATTATTAAGATTAAGGCAAGAATAGGGCAGGCAAGAAATTCTTTCAACAAACTGAAAAGAGTACTCTGCAACAGGGACATTTCGATGTCTTTAAAGATAAGACTTCTGAGATGCTACGTGTTCTCCTTATTATTTTATGGGTTGGGGGCTTGGACTTCATTATGTCTCTTAGTTCATGGTTTATTCTTCTTCCCATTTCTAATCTTTTCATAACGCCGGCCCGAACAAAGAATTTTAATCTTTCCTTGTCTCTTCCCATAAGAACTAAATCATCTGCATATACAACTACATGTGTTTAGGAGTGGGCTGTAGTTCCTTTAACTTTGCTAGCCTTGACTGTTCCTTCTACTGCTATGTTGAATAATGTGGTTGACAGAGAATCGCCTTGTTGCACTCTGCAATGCTCTGCCTGTTTCTATTTTGCCTCATCTATGGGCATTTTTGTTAATCTGATTAATGTTGCTGGTATATCTTTATTTTTCATTTCAATAAATAATTTATTTCTTCCAATACAGTCAAAGGCTTATCTGAAGTCTACGAAGAGGATGTGGAGTTCTATGTTGTGTTCGTGGCATTTTTCGATTGTTTGTGTAACTATGTGGATCGCATCTGTAGTGGATCTGCCTTCTCTGAATCCTTGTTGGTACTCAGTAGAGATATTGTTCTATAGTTGTTTCAGTTTGTTACTTCTCCTTGCTTAAATATTGGTATAATTCTGCCTTCTTTCCAATCCTCGGGCATTTCTTCTGCTTCCCATATCTAACTATTAGATAATAGATGCTTGTTAATAACCTTTCCACTCCGTTTTAATTAGCTCATTGGGAATTTCATCTGGGCCAGGTGTTCTTTTCTGTTTCATTTTTTGAATGATGTCTAAATATTCATCATATTATGTTGGTATTCCTATTTCATTATCTCTAATGTCTACCATTGCGCCTACTTCCTCTTCCGGGATTTCTTTGCATCTATACAGTTCTGTGAAGTGTGTTTCCGATGATCTATTGTCAATTTTAACTACTGGTCTTCCTTTTCTTTGTTGAGCTTTTAGGTATCCAAATAGTTTGGAGTTCTCGTTACTATTATTTTCTAGGTTCTTTAACAGCTCTTCTATCCACAGTTTTTTTTGTTGTTGCAACAATTATCCGCTGCTTTCTTTTTTTTTCTTTATATTCGTTTCGATGATGTTCTTCTCTAGTTGATATCCATTTATTTCTTGCTTGTTTTTTCTGTTTCATTTTGATTTCGCATTCTGCACCAAACCACTCTTTCCTTCTTTTTATTTTCCTCTGTCCTAGCAGATTATTAGTGCATTATTCGCAGAAATCTTTCATGCAGCAGTTTCCAAAGCCATTTGGATAGCCAAACTTCGGCCCAATAAGAAGAAAAAGAGCATTATACAAATATTTACTTATTGTTTACCATGGACGTATAAATATTGTTTACATTTGAAAATGTAAAGTGTCAAGGTTATTAAGAGCCGGGTATGCTGACCAATATTGGGTATATTATTTATCTAGTGATTTGTATAACATACTTTACATTCGAATTACAAAAAATTAGAATAAACCTAGACTGTGTCAAATAAAGAAGTGTTCTCATTATCGCTTACTTAACACTAAAAGAAACCAACACGTGCCCCGAAATAATATTTTTCCTCCGGAGTTATTACATGGCGATCCTGTCTTCGACATTATTACATTATTACAGTAGGTAAAATTAATGTAAGGTAAGAATAGAAACTTGGAGCAGGTTTAACTTTAATATTTCTATCTGAGTGATTTGACTCGGGATGCCAAGCTTAAGCGAAGGCTTGTTGATTATCTAGACAGATATCAAGAGCGAGTTTTTTATTATTTCAATTATTTGGGAGACTGACTTGTAATTAACAAGGTTTGGGTGAAGTTTTTACTATTTTGTTCCGATTATGGGTGATATTCTTCCTCCTCCCTAGAAGGAATTCTGCTTGTTCTTTGACGGTTTAACACCTCTATGGAAAATTTTTCACTTCATCCTTTGCGCGATCGGACAATACTTGCACATATTGGTAATTTTTCTTTTGCTTCTTTGACCAATCTTGTCTTCTACATAGTACTTATGTGTTTTTCATTTCGAAAAATACTAAGACGAATCTATGGAACGGTAAATGACAATGGACTGTGAAGAAGAAGATACAACTCTGAACTTTATAGAATATACCAGAAGCCAGATGTCGTAAAATACATTATGATAGGATTTCTAAGGTGGGAAGGGCATGCAAAACTGACCCAGCGATGAAAAACATTCCTTGATAGAACCATTGGTCAGAGAAGAAGAAATAGATCTAGAATAAGGTTCTTTGATAACATCTATGAAGGTATGAGACATATGGGAATACGAGGAAGGGGGTGCATGGGGATGACTGGACGGAAATTCTTGAGAAGGCTAGGACTCACCAGGCTTGTAAAGCCAGAATGATGATAATGATTTTTGAGTGACATAGCTCGTTTGACTGCAAGATTCTGATAGTTGCTCGTGGTAGTAATTTCAGTTCGTTTTTGCTTTACGTAATGGAAGTAATTTGACCAAATAATTTCTTATATGCTGACTCATAATTCCTGAATATCATCCGCATTTTTCTGTAAAATGTTCCACACCCTATAATTTATTTATTAGATTATATCACGATAAGATAGACTAGACTTGATAAGTAATATTAGAGTAGGAGTCTCAAATTGAGGTTCATAAATCGTAAAAGAATATTTTATTTATTTTTAATGTATTTGTGATTCATATGGGCTCCATAATAACCAAAAATGAAGACACCTCCTCAGAAATCAAGCGTAGACTAACAATGAGACCAAAAAATAACAAGGTTAATGCTCTTATTTGTTCCAGTGCTACATACGCAGGTGAAACATGGACTCTCAACAAAAAGATTGAAGTAAGTTCAAATTCTAAAAAATAATCTACTCGTGAGCTGGACAGAACACAGAACCAAACTGTCAATTCTGAAAGACAGAGTATTAAAAAAAGTAAAAAGAGCATTTATCTAAATTACTTTGACCACGTAGCCAGAAGAACAGGAAGAGTAGTATGGAACTATTGGTAGTAGAAGGAAAACTAGAAGGTGAAGACAAAGAGGAAGATTTTTATTACAATGGGCAGACCAAATGAAAACTTTAGTGGTGAAAATCTTTACACAAAGCCGTCCATCTGGTATAGGATCGCAGTTAATGGAGACAGTAAGCTAACAATATTTAAAGTAACATCACGCCCTGACAAGTACTCAACGAATAAGGAGGAGGTTCATATTCAAAACTTTACGAAAAATTCATTGTTAAAAACTAATTGCAAAAAATTTACAAACGTAAATTTACATACCTGGTTATAACGCCGGGTCCATTCTTCGACCACATTTGCCCATCGAAATTTTCTTTGAGATCCATCAAACATCGTTCTACGAGTTTGTGTCCCTCGCCAGCTGCGTCAAAATTTAAGACTCCTGATGCTACAACAGAGCTAGATTCTATGCCAGCATAGTTATCTTTCAGATCATCCACCGGTTTAAGAGCAATGACATCCAAATCCATATATAATCCCCCATATTTCCAGAGAGTTAGGTATCTAAAAAATATAAATAATTATGATCTAATCTTTTATAAGTAAATCGATGCTTGCGTCGGTCAGAAAGCCAAGTGGGGCAGTCGGTAGACTCGCGAAATGCTCTAGTAAGAATAATAGTTTAAAACTCTAAATTAATCTGCTGCTTAGACTAGAATAATTAGGTGTCTGACTGGCCTATCCTAAAACCATACGATAAGAGATGAAGGGTTGCGGCTTGGTGATTGATACTCCTCCATAGATCCCTACCGGGTTTATTGAAGTGTATCTAGATTGATGCCTATTGATTCAGGTAATGTCAGATACTTTAAATATGTTCTAAAAATCTTTGGAACTGGAGAAACTCCATATTTCTTCAACGTTTAGTATTGCAGTGCTCTTATTGTTCTTCTTATTTTTATGTAGATATGACTCTGTTACCTCTGAGTGTCTGTTTTCCAATGAGCTCCCGGTAAGTTGTGGTTCCATCGTTTTCGTGGTCTTCTTACTGATCGTCTTCCTATTGGGGAACCGTCTCTTGTCATCTTTACTACTCTATTTGTTGTCATTCGGCTTATATGATCGTTCCATTCCACTCTTACATTTCTTACCCAGTCCTTGATGTTCCCCACCTTAGTTTTAGTAGTTATTTGATCAGATCTGATCAGTCCGGTATTCCGTCCTCTCCTCGTGATTTTCTGGTTTTTAATTTTCTTAATGCTTCATTTACCTCTTTGTCCTCAATATTTATTTCTTCGTTTATTTCCACATCTCATTTATTATTACCAGAAAGTGATCATGTCCACGTTTGCACCTCTGTAAGATCTCGTGTTCAGTGTTTTTTGTACTAACTCTTTGGTTGCTAAGACCTAGTCGATTTGATTTTCACTGCCAGGTGGATATCTCCAGGTTGCCTTATGTTTTCTTGGATACTCAAATTTTGTCGATAGGAAAGTCATATTTAGCTACGAGTTAACAGGTTCTGATGCCATTGTCATTTGTTTTTTCGTGTAGAGTTTCTTTTCCGTTTCTGACTAGATCTTTCAAGCATGCTTTTTTCCCTAGTTGTACGTTTGCCTCCCAATATTAAAAGCATGTCTTTTTTCATAGAATTCATCTTTTTCTGTTGAATCGGATGTTTCAGTCGGAGTATATATACACTGCACGTCATTAAAAGAAGCCACATAAATTTTTTAGCATTTTTTAATTTTTAAGAACCTTACAAGAAATGTATTGTCATTAAATGTTTGTGTAATGTTTAAGAATATGTTCTAAAGCAGTGTGGAACCCACTTAACAAATGTCAAATAAAAACTTCTTTTAAAATGATGATTTTAATGGAAAATTTTAAAAATTGTAGGTCTTGCTTTTATATCGTCTTGAGACCTATACGTCTTCGTCTTAATGATACTTTTATAGTGAATTAGTATTTTTTATGGATTAACCCTTACAAATTATGGTTAGCTTTTGTTATTAAGCACAAACACGTCATTCTGCTGGTCATATATTTCGACTGTCTGTCTGCATCGTCATGATATGAACGTTATGATAGCATAATGGGGGTGTGGATATCTGCACGTATAAAGTATTCATTAATATTTTAATGAATTGTAAAATATCTACAATATTAACATTGTAAATTTTTTCTGTTTTCTTTACAAAAATTACAATTAAGTCGTGCATTTTAATATCCTGTATTACCACCTCTATTTTGAATTACACTCCTCATTCGACTTGGCATTAAATTGATCAAATTCTGGATGTTGCCTTGAGGAAAAGCTTCCCATTCTTCCATGAGCGCCAATCGAAGCTGCTCACGATTTATTGCTCACGAGCAGGTATTATGTTTCTTACTCTTCGTTTGAGTTAGTCCCAAACATGCTCAATCGGTTTCAAATTTGAGTTTTGAGCCGGCCAATTAATTTTTAGCACACCGACGGTATACCCTTACCATCCTGGCTACGAGTGGCTGCGCCTTGTCTTGTTGCATGAAAATAAAGCTTTCGCCCACAAACCATGCAAAAGGCATTGCAGGCTCGTCTAGAATTTCGGTAATGTATCGGTGAGCATTCAACGTTCCTCTATTAACAAACACGAGATCAGTATGGCCTTCGAATAAAATGCCTGTCAAAATATTACAGAGGCTTCTCCAAAACCAACACGTGCTCGTCGAGCGCAAGGAGTATATCGTTCCCCATGTGTTTTGTACGTTTTGATGCGACCATTTAAGCCATAAAGAACCATCCTGGACTTATCACTAAACAAAAAATTCGTCCAATCTGCTATCGTCCAATGCTCGTGGTATATAGCAAACTTAAGTCGGCATTGTCAATGTGTTACTGTCAACAAAGGTCCTGTTGCTGGGCAACGAGCTCTTAGACCAAATTCACTCAACCTTTTTCTTACTGTCAAAGTGCTTAATGTCCACCCGTGAGCATTTTAAAAACAGTTTTTGATTGCTCTAGCCGCAAAGAACCGATTTTCTAAGGAAATGCGCTGTAAAGAACGGTCTTCTCTGGCCGTCGTGATTCTTCTCGCACGTGGTCCTGGTCGTCGTTCGTGAGATCCAGTCTCTATGAATCGTTGGTATGTTTTTTGATCATACAACGACTGACTCGAAGTTGTGTGGCCACTTCTCTTTGACTCATTCCATTATCAATGAAAGTAACAATTTGAACAGATCTAGCAGATTTCTCAGCCACAGTTTTAAATTTAAAAATTGCACAAGTTCACTCTATGAACAACTGTACACTAATGAAAGATTTTTGAAAAACAGAACAGCAATATTCCAATGAAAACAACATACAAACAACATGTGCATTCTCCGAAGTGGTAAAACTGATATCAATTTTGCGAACTTATTCTTCTTCTTCTTTGAGTGCCTCTCCTATCGGAGATTGGATATCATTATAGCGATTCTAATTTTATTTACTGCTATTTTGAATAATTCGTTAGTGGTACAGCCAAACCACTCTCTTAAATTTCTCATCCAGGTCATTCTTCTACAGCCTGGATTTCTGCGTTCTTGGATTTTTCCTTGCATTTTGTTTTATAGGAATGTGTACTGTTGCCCTCTGATCAGGTGACCTTTTCTCTTTTTTTTTCTCTTTTTTATATTCATAATAACTTCTGCATCGTTATTTATTCTGCGTATTACCTCTTCATTTGTAATTTTATTCACCCAACTTATTTTTAGTATACGGCGGTAGCACCACATCTCAAAGCTTTAAAGATTTTTTATATATATATATATATATATATATATATATATATATATATATATATATATATATATATTAAAAATCTTTAAAGCTTTGAGATGTGGTCTTTATGCGGTAACATTGTATGGTGTTTTTGTCGGTCATAAGACTATAAATTAGGATGATTGTGATCACCACTAGGGTAAAAAATATTAGAAATGTAACTCATCTTCGTCTGTACTTGAAGTAAAATTTATATATATATATATATATATATATATATATAACGAGTTTATTACAGCTGCCTCCGTTTCTCGCAACCTAGCTTCCAACGCTTGCGATCGTTCCAGTCATCTATTTGTAGACTCCTATCTTCCATTACACCTTTTACTTCTTGTCTCCACGATCTTCTTAGTCTTCCCTTTTTCCTGCTATTGGTGGAGATCCACTGCAACATTCTCTTTGGCCATCGTTGATCATCCATCCTTTCTACATGGCCATACCATTTCAGCCTTTTGCATTCTATAGTTTCCAGTATGTCAATGTCTATGCCCATACGCTCTCTGATTTTAGTATTCCTTACTCTATCTCTTCTAGTGAGTTGGCAACATCTTCTCCAATAATTCATTTCCATTGCTTTTATTTTGAATGCGACATTTTTATTTATTACCCAAAGCTCTGAACCATATGTAGCAATGCTTTCTATGATACTTTTGTATATCCTAATTTTTGTGTTTCGGGTGATGTGGTTATTCCAAAGTATACTATTCAGTTGACGTACTGCTGAATTTCCTTGACCAATTCTAGTAGCTATTTCTTTTGTATTCCGACCATTGTTTGTAATGTTTACACCGAGATATTTATAGCTATCAGTATTTTGAATTTGTTTGCTTCCTAGTTCTAAGTGCTTTCCTTCACCTCCCACTACTTTTAGATTTTTTTTTTAGATTTTTAATATTCCTCTCTTTAAAGAGTCCATGCCTCAAAACCGTAAAGCAAAGTACTGAATACATAGCATTTTAACATTCTAGTTCATAGATGAATACTAATATCACGATTACAAAATAATTTTTTTCATTTTTATAAAGGTAGACCTGGCAATTTCAATACGTCTTTTTATCTCGTGATTTTGGTCACCTGTTTCATTGATGAGGGTTCCCAAGTATTTGTATTCGCTTACTTTTTCAAGTTGGGTACCGTTTATTGCGATACTAGTGTCACGAACTTATTACCCTTAATTAACCTGTCGGCACCCAGTGCCGGCACCTAAAAGTATTTCTGCATTCTGGAAATTTATTTACAATAGAATAAATTCCATAAACCTAAAATGATTCTTAAAAAATTCTTATAAAATTCTAAGTGGCCTTTTTTTAATGATATGTAGTGTATTTATTAATGGTAAATAGTGTGCTCATCCAATTACTGCACTTAAAAATAGGATATTACTTCCGAATTCTTTAAAACTGCATCGATTTACTTAAAATTTTGACAGGGGTTGTAAAATAACTCAAATAATAAAAGCTTTATGTTTTTACCGATATATGCTTTTACCCTGGCGGTGAATACTACCCTAGATTTGATTGAAAATGTAAAAAAACATGTTTTAACTGTTCTTCGCTTATAACTAAAAAATCTTATTATGTATAAAAAAAACTGTTTTTTTATTATTTTAGATGCAATATAAACAGAGTTGTAGCCCCCCAGTTGTAGCCAATTTTATCTTTACCGAAAATTTATATATGTATCAAACGCTAAATAACTGAAAAACGAGCAATTTATTGGAGAAAACATAAAATCTTTTTAAAATTGCTAAAATATAAATTTTGATTTTGTCTAAATTATATTATTGATAAAAAATTGATAAAAACAATAAGCTAGTCTGTAACTTACCGTAATACATCACTTGCATGCGCCACCACATGACGAGAACTTTCAATTTTTCCAGATCTGTAAAGGTCTTCCACTGGAGATTCTCTGGTATAATTTTCATAATCTAAATGCAAAATTTTCACATTGGGGTAACTCAACAACACCTTCAAAAACCTATCAGACTCATCTCCTTCAAACTTGAAATCCATAGGTGATGTATAAAGCAGATAAACCTCCATATTGGGATTTAACTTTGCCACACTCTCCACGGCGCAAGCTTGTCTCGAGCTTATCCAGATCTTTCCTCTGTAAAACGATCGACACGAAGTCTCATGAAAAAATATGGATTTTCCCCGTTGTGGGTTGAAATTTTCTATACTAGGAAGAGTTTTCTCAGTCTTTATGCGGTAACATTGTATGGTGTTTTTGTCGGTCATAAGACTATGAATTAGGATGATTGTGATCACCACTAGGGTAAAAAATATTAGAAATGTAACCCATCTTCGTCTGTACTTGAAGTAAAATTTCATCATTCTGGGAGGAGATCCGTCTTGTCCGTTTTACAACCATTCGAGATGTCTGGAAAAGAAAACATTAATAATAAGTTAAATTAGAAATAATATGTAAGCATAAAGCACAGAGATTTATTATATATTACAGTTATAGTAAAATAAACATAGGTGTCACTCAAAGTCAAGGTCTGTGGCATCGAAAGTCCTCAATTAGCGGCGGGATCTTTTTAATAGGGAAGGATTCCGAGTTCAATATCGTAACATTTTAAACGTAACATGTAATCTACAAAAAAGTATTTATATTAAAAACGACAAGACTAGGACAAGTTTTAAAATAAGGTACAAAAAATGAGCGTCCGAATTTTAAGTACTGATTAATACGCAATTGCCCCTACATATAATGGTAGAACCGTCAATTAAACTATATTTCCCAATATCTTCTTCTTGATGTGCCTATCCGTTACGAATGTTGGCGATCATCATGGCAATCTTTATCTTATCTGCAGCAGCGCGAAAAAGCTGGACATATGTTGTATTGAACCAGATTCTAAGATTCTTTAACCAAGATGTTTTTCTTCTTCCTGGACCTCGCTTTCCAACTATTTTTCCTTGCAGGATGGCTTGAAGGAGAGCATATCTGGATCCATTTGGCATAATATGTCCGAAGAACTGTAAATTTCGAGATTGGTGGTGAGTACCTCTCGGTTCTTATTCATTCTTCTGAGGACCTCCTCATTTGTGACTCGGTCAGTCCACGGGATCTTAGGCATTCTCCGATATAACCACATCTCAAATACTTCCAGTTTTCTGCTCATATCTTCGCTCAAGGTCCACGGTTCAACACCATAAAAAAGGACAGAGAAGACGTAACATCGCAGCATTCTTACTTTTGTATCAAGAGAGAGGTTGTTACTCTTGAAGAAGGACCCTATCCGATTGAAGGTGGATCTAACTTTTCCGATGCGTGCTCTAATCTCCTGGTTGTAGGTCCATTCTTCATTATTATAGTGCCGAGGTAGTTGTAGTGCGTCACTCTTTCTACAGGAGATTGGTTGACGTAGAGTTGAGCTTCTGTTATCCTTTTCTTGCTAATTATCATAAGCTTTGTCATAACATTTATATTGAGTCCATATTGTTGACTGTAATATGTGATATGTGATTTTGTTCATAAGAACTTGTAGGTCTTCTAAGTTGTCCGCAAATACTATGGTGTCATCTGCATATCTGATGTTGTTTAGCCGGTAACCATTTAGTAGAGTACCTTTTTCAGTTTCGTGCAAATCTTCGATAAATATTCTTTCAGAGTACATATTGAAGATTAGAGGAGACAAAACACAGCCTTGCCTCACTCCAAGCATGATCTATTCCTATTTTCCACTATATCTCCTTTATATCGACGAAAAAAGCTTTTGATTCTGTTGATTGAGGTTGTAATTTTATCTATCAAACTTGATCCAACCTTTTTTTGTCCACAAAATATCATCTCATTCCATTATATTTTATGTGTTTGGCTATTTTTGTTGATATCTTTTGTTATTCCTTTCTTTTCATGAATAAAACCAGCTTTTAGAACAAACAACAACTTAGGCAAATACACTGCACGTCACAAAAAAGAGGCCACCTAAAATTTTTGCCATTTTATAATTTTTACGAATCATACCACAGGTGATTGTCATTAGATGTTTGTGTAATCCTTAGGAATATGTTTTAAAGCAGTATGCAATCATTTCTTAAATAACAAATGTCAAAAAATACCTTCTTCCAAAATAATGATTTTATTGAAAAATAAAAAAAAATTAACATTGTACATTTTTTCTGTTTTCTTTATAAAATTACAATTAAGTCGTGACTATTATTACTGTTTATCACCACCTCTATTGTGAATTACACTCCTCATTCGATTTGTCATTGAATTGATCAAATTCTGGATGTCGTTTTGAGAAAAAGCTCTCCATTCTTAAATTAGCACCAAACGAAGCTGCTCACGATTTATTGGAGCAGGTATTCTGTTTCTTACCCTTCGATTGAGTTGGTACGAAACATGTTCAATCGGGTTCAAACCTGGACTTTGAGCCGGCCAGTTCATTTTTGGCATACCGACAGTTTCCAGATATTACGTTACCATCCTGGGTACGTGTGGCCGCCATTGTCTTGCATAAAAATAAAGTTTTCGCCGATAAACCCAGCAAAAGGCATTACGTGCTCGTCTAGAATTTCGGTAATGTATCGGTTCGCATTCAACGCTCCTCTATCAATAAATATGAGATCAGTACGGCCCTCGAATGAACTGCCTGCCCAAAACATTACCGAACCTCCTCCGAAAGCAACACGTACTCGTCGAACACAAGCAGCATATCGTTTCCCACGTCTTATGTATGTTTTGATGCGACCATCTGAGCCATAAAGAACCATCCTGGACTCATCACAAAACAATTCATTATTCCAATGTTCTATCATCCAATGCTCGTGGTCTCTTGCAAACTGTAGTCGGCGTTGTCGATGTGTTGCTGTTAACAAAGGTTCTGTTGCTGGACAGCGAGCCCTTAGACCAAATTCCGTCAATCTTCTTCTCACGGTAGACGTGCTTAAAGTCCACCAGTGAGCATTTTGAAAACGGTTTTGGATTGATCTAGCCGTAAAGAACCGATTTTGCAAAGAAGTGTGTTGTAAAGAACGGTCTTCTCTGGTCGTCGTCATTATTCTCGGGCCTGATCCTGGTCGTCGTTCGTGAGATCCATTCTTTACGAACGACTAACTCCAAGCTGTCTGGCCACTTCTCTTAGACTCATTCTATTACCAATAAAAGTAACGATTTGAATAGATCTAGCAAATTTCTCAGTCATAGTTCTTAACTTATCTTCTTTGAAAATTCTCTTTGAATTTTGGTGTTACAGAAGAATCCTACGAATATCATGAATTCCAAGAATGTCAAACATGGAAGTAACTAGAAGGATAGGAAATGAGGCGGAAATAATATTAACTATTAAAAGACGAAAACTTGAGTACTTGGGACATGTGATGAGAGGGCAAAAATACGCATTATTACAACTTATTATGCAAAGCAAAATCACAGGAAAGCGAAATGTGGGAAGACGAAGAATATCCTGGCTTAAGAACTTAAGGGAATGGTTTGAATGCAGTAGTGCAGAACTTTTTAGAGCGGCAGTCAACAGAGTCCGCATAGCCATGATAATTTCCAACCTTCGATAGAAGATGGAACTTAAAGAAGAAATTCTTAACTTAAAAATTGCACAAGTTTACTCTTCGAACAACTGTACACTAGTGAAAGGTTTTTGAAAAACAGAATAGCCATATTCCAAGAAAAATAAAGTACAAGCAACACGTGCATTATCCGAAGTCGTAAAACGGATATCAATTATGTAAACTTATTACCCTTAATTAACCTGTCGGTACCGTTTGTCGGTGCCTAAAAGACGCTAAAAGTGTTTCTGCATTGTAGGCATTTAGTTTCAATATTCTAGGTGGCCTGTTACAAAATTCTAGGTGGCCTCTTTTTCGTGACGCGCAGTGTGTATTAAGAACAAAAAGAGCCAGAAAAAGGTATTACACAGTGGTGTATACAAACTTAAATCTGCCGACTGTCCAAAAACTTACATCGGTCAAACATGTAGAACTTTTATCAAACGTATAGCAGAACATAAAAGGGCTTTCAATAATAGAAAAACAGACTCTACGTACACACTTCGCCTTCTAGGCCATAATCATTCTTTTAATGGCGAATTTCAAATTCTTAAACTTAAACTATCTTTATTAGAATTTATGGAAATCAAAAAATTAAAAAATACAGACATATTTCTGAATGACCAACAGTTCTTTGCTCCTTAACTTATTCAGTAAAACACTATAAAATGTAAACATATACCAAAAATAGATTTCTTAAGAAAGGCACTCTGACCGAAACAGCTGTAGTGATAATAATTTAAAATAAATTTTGTGAAAGTGTTAAAAACAAAAGTTTTCAGTGTTTTATTGTTAGATTATTCAAATCATTCTAATATGGCACGTGAAAAAGAAGATCAAATTAAATATAAAGAATCCATAAAAATAAAAGGCATATTACAAAACTTTATAAAAATGGATAAATATATTTACCTTGAACAAACTTCACTTAATAGAACTTAACAAAGAAAACAAACACGCAATCTTCCGAAACAAAGTTAAACTTTACTACTAACTGTTCTCAAAGATCAAACGATTAATGAATAGTTTGTGGGCACTAATTGCCGTTTGAAATACTTGAAAATTAAGAGTATGTATGATTCGTACTACTCGTAAATTAAACAAATAATTTTCAGTTAAGATGAACCAACAAACCATAAAAGCAAAGTCTTCGAGATAAAACAAGTAACATGTGTAACATAATTATTCCTAATCTTATGGTAATATAAATATAATAAAAAAATGTTTCAATTTTGTCTATTAAATTAATTTTCTGGTCTGAACAAGGCCTTGAAATTCTGGTATATCTACCAATAATTAGTTTTTATTAAAATTACTTTCAAATCGATACTAAATAAATTAGGGGAAATCTAACAATGGTATATACAGGTGAGTGAAAACTAAGGGGAGTACTAGTTTTGTACTGTGTCGTATAGCCAAAGACGAAACAACCTTATTTACCTACGCTTCATTTCGCCGACGATCTGTAACAAATCTGTGTAGGAATATAACAAAATTGTGCATACAATGAAACAGAAGTAGCTGGGGGTAAAGTAAAAGATAACATATACAGTGGAACTCGCTTATTACGGCCTCGGTAGTTACGTCATCTTGGTTATAACGTCAATTTTTAATAGGTCCGGTCAAAAACTATTCCATAACGTTATTAAAACCCGGTTTTATTGGCTAAAAATAAACTAACCCTCGGTTATAGCGTCATAACATTTTATAGTAGGTTATCCTTTTTTTTATTTTATGAAGAATAAAGTGCAATGCGTTTCTGGCTTTGCGGCATTTGTCTTGCTTCCAAGAATGTAAGAAAGGTCCATTATCCCTTCTGTGTACAGTTATGTTACCCCGACAATCTATATTTCGCATTTATCAGTG